GATGAACACCCAGGAAATAGACGATGAAAGCAACAAACCCACCGTAGAAGTGTGAGGTCACTTAAAACATTCCTCCAGACACAACAAGGTGGGAGGGAGTAGGAGGCAATGAGACAAAACAAGGAAGAGCTATGAATAGAACAGTGACTTCACTGACTCATTATCATCAGAGATATTTTAGGTCCGAATAAGGTACTGTAGTAGCACTAAAGGCCATGTCTAGGGAACGTCATGTTACTATCAGTAAAGAATTCATTTCAATAGTTTCAGAGTGGACATGTTGAAGCTGTGGATGTCCAGGATGTCGCAATCACAGATATTTCTTGTGATTTTGGTACAATGTGATGTAACATTGAAACAACCCATTCATTGCTATTTTCATAGAGACACCGTGTTTTAAAAGCATCTTCCCATAAAAGCCATTTACATTTGAATACTGTGTTTTATTAGACTTGCTGGAACATGTTGAACTTATGAAAGAAATTGATAAACACAATGGACAACTCCTTTATATGGAGTTATTAATGCCAAACAACAACAACAAAGAAGAAGAAGTGTATATCAGTAGTGGCTTTACAGGTACAACCTTGATGGGAACACGGGGAAATAACCAAGAGCAGACAAACAAAACAAGGTCTCGTCTCGTCTCGTCTCGTCGTTCTCCACTTATCCAAGTCCGGGTCGCGGGGGCAGCAGCCTCGGCAAAGAAGCCCAGACAGTCCTCTCCCCAGCCACCTCCGTCAGCTCTTAAGAGGGAACCCCGAGGCGTTCCCAGGCCAGTCGGGCGATGTAATCCCTCCAGCGTGTCCTGGGGCGGCCCCGAGGTCTCCTCCCGGCTGGACATGCCCGAAATACCTCCCAAGGGAGGCGTCCGGGAGGGATCTCGTTCTTTAGGTCACTACTCAGAGCTCATGACCATAGGTGAGGGTTGGAACGTAGATCGACCGGTAAATCAAGAGCTTCGCTTTCTGGCTAAGCTCCCTTTTCACCACAACGGACCGGTTAAGCGTCCGCATCACTGCTGATGCCGCCCCAATCCGCCTGTCAATCTCCAGCTCCATCCTACCCTCACTAATGAACAAGATCCCGAGGTACTTAAACTCCTCCACCTGAGGCAGGACCTCCCCCCTGACCTGGAGTGGGCAATCCACCCTTTTCCGGCTGAGGACCATGGCCTCAGACTTGGAGGTGCTGATTCTCATGCCAGCCGCTTCACACTCGGCTGCGAACCGTCCCAG